TCGCTTGCAGATTTCTTATACTTTTTCTTCTACCCTGAAGATGGAGGCGATACGTTCCTCCGAAACGTCGGTTAACACCACATATACACGGTGCCAAATCCCAGAAGACTGCTTTCTTCATAGTCACCGCCGTGAAAGCCTCAAATCTTACATTGTTAGGAAAATGTTCAAGAAGCCTCGGAATTGAACTGCACGCCTCCCAAAAAAAAATCAAGAATGTTAACCCTATATTAATCATTTTGGCAGACAGCCCTACTTATACATATGCTGCCAGAAACATTTCTACAGTATAGTTAAGTTGGCGAACACTGTTACTAACAACTATAAGGATCATCAAGGTCCAATGCCTGACCAGGAACCTCTTCACTGTATCAAAAGAAAAAGAAGACCACCAACTAGAAATGATGATTTTTTATGGGAATAGAGTCTGATGCAAATAAGTCTAAATCTAATATATCTAAGCAAACTAAAGAATCATTAATCATTATTCACCAAAATATTAGAGGTCTTGCTAATAAAACTGACGAATTTACATGTTCAATGGTAGCTAGAAATATTAGTCCTCACCTAATATGTCTCTCTGAGCATTATATGACAGATTCTAAATTATCCTCTAATAAACTGTCGAACTATGTTTTAGGAGCAAGTTTTGCTAGCTCGAGACATCTAGGGGGACGTGTGTGTATTTATATTAAACCAGCCATAAAATTTACTTCTATTGATCTAACACAATATTGTAATGAAAATAATATAGAAATGTGTGCGCTTAAGATCAATATTGAAAAACAAAACATACTAGTTTTATGTGTATACAGGTCACCTAGTGGCAGTTTTGATTATTTTATGAAGAAACTGGAAAAAGTACTTAATCTCCTACATAAAACAAAAACGGAATTTATAATTGGAGATTTTAATGTAAATTTTTTAAACGAGTCTGTCCATAAGACTCAGCTCCTCTTACTGTTGTACTCATTTAATGTTTTTAATACTGTACAGCTACCAACCAGAATTACGCAGAACAACAGCTCCCAAATTGATAATATTTTTATTGATAATAAAAGGAAAAACTCTTTATGATGTACTCCCGATTACCAATGGTCTGTCCGATCATGACGCCCAATGTCTTATATTAAAGAATATCAGTAATCTGAACAAGCATAACCTTCATGGTACTATGATTAGAATTGTAAACAAAGATTCATTAGTACAATTTCAAAATGAAATATGCAATGAAAATTGGGAAAAAATTTATCAATCAAATGAAGTTAATGAAGCATATAATATATTTTGGAATACTTACCTGCTTATATATGAATCATGTTTTCTTAAGAAAAATATAAGTAAAAAAGATAATGATAATTCATGGATAACAGTGGGAATACGTACCTCCCGTAGATGTAAAGAATTTTTGTATATTCTTAGTAAAAATCAAAGTAACAGTTTCAAAACATATTACAAAACTTATTGTAGTATATTAAGAAGAGTAATAAGGGAAGCAAAGAGGCTACATTACAACAGATTAATCGCATCAGCTAAGGATAGGATAAAAGCTACATGGAGTATTATTAATAGGGAGACAGGAAGGAAAAATAGCAACAATAACGATAGTTTACCAAAATCATTCCAACACAATACCGAAAAAGTAAGTAAGGATGAAGCAGCACATAATTTTAATACATTTTTTTATCAATAACTGAAAATCTTAATATAAAGAAAACTAATTCACATTCAGCAATGAAGTATCTGTGTTCACATTTCCCAAATGGTTTCCCTATGATGAACTGTAACCTTGTTTCGGAAAATGAAATAATTGGTGTGATTAACAAACTCAAATCCAAAAACTCTTCAGGTTATGATGATATAACAAATAAATTAATTAAACTTAGTAGGCACCAAATAAGTAAACCCATAGCTTATATAATTAATAAGTCATTAATAATGGGAGTATATCCTGAAAGATTAAAATATGCTGTTATTAAACCAATATACAAAAAAGGAGATAAAACCATTATACATAATTATAGACCAATATCAATAATAACAGGGTTTGCAAAAGTATTTGAAATGGTAATCTATAAAAGACTCAATGATCATATTACAAAGCACAAAATATTACTCCCACAGCAATTTGGATTTCAAAAAGGATTATCTACTGAAGATGCGATCTTCAAACTAACTAATGTAATACTAACTGCTTGGGACAGAAAAGAATATACAGTCGGCATATTCTGTGATATAGCCAAGGCATTCGACTGTGTAGATCACGAACTCATGTTATTCAAACTCCAATATTATGGTGTCCAGGGTTTATTTCTACAATGGTTTAAATCCTACTTTCAAAATAGGAAACAAAGGGTTGAACTAAAATACACCAATAACAAATATAATTCAGACTGGGAGCTAGTTCACTCTGGTGTGCCACAGGGTTCAGTCTTGGGACCTCTACTTTTTAATATTTATATCAACGATTTTCCCCTTGAAATGAGAGAAGTTTTTGAAGTCATAATGTTTGCAGATGACACAGGCATTGTCTGTACAGCCAAGGCCTATAATAATTGAAAAATAAAATTAGATGATATTTGTAGTCATATGAGTAGATGGTTTCAGGCAAATCTTCTTGCATTAAATCTTGACAAAACAAAAATTATAAAGTTTACACCAACAATACATACTGATTATCCGCTAACAACTATGCTTCTTAACACGATACTCAAAACAGCTGAAGCTACAACATTTCTGGGTTTACAGATTGATAATCATCTGACTTGTAAGGTGCATGTAAATCAGTTACTTCATAAATTGAGTATGGTTGGATTCCAAATGCGAAAATTATCTTATATTCTAAACAAAAATAACTTAAAATCTGTTTATTATGCATATTATCATTCTTTAATGAAATATGGAATAATATACTGGGGTAATACCCCTGATTGTCTTAAAGTTTTTCGTATGCAAAAGAAAACAATAAGAATAACGATGGGAGTTGGACCAACTCACTCATGCCGTGATCTGTTTAAGAAGCTGGGAATATTGCCACTTCCCTATGTATACTTGTTATCACTACTGACTTTTGTTGTAAAAAACTGTGACAAGTTTTTGATAAATAATACAATATACACGATTGGCACCAGGAATAATAATCTTTTTCATATGCCTGCTTCTCATTTGTTGTTGTATCAGAGGGGTGTGTATTACTCAGGTGTTGGGTTCTTTAACATGTTACCAGACAGTATCTCAATGTTAAGAATGGATAAAGATCAATTTAGGGTTGCTATAAAAAGATACTTATTAAGAAATTCCTTTTACTCCATTGAGGTATTTGTTGACCATGTAAGAAGCATAAAGATATATGCAGAGTAAATAGTCAATCAAAACATATTGTTGGTCCTGTCTTTGTTCTGAGTCAAGAGGGCTGTTCTCAATTGTTTTAACATTTAATATTGAAACTAAGAATAGGGAAGTTAAGTTGTATCAATTCTAGTTGATTGATGTTGTCAACAGAGTTAATATTTTCCTTTCTAATTTGTTATAATTGGATTCACAACTTGCGATTTTTTGCAAAAGGCCTTATTTATTATTTTATATTTTTATACGTTTTATTTACTGACAACTTGTATTGTTTTCCAAGATGCTTTATTTATTATTACTTTGTACTTTAGATTTTACATATTACATTTAATGCGTATCTGTATTTTATTGCATGTGACTGTTTGTCTCTGACATGATATATGACAATTTTTATATCCAGCCCTACGGGGTGACAGTTGCGTCAAAGAAATGTATTTTAATAATAATAATAATAATAATAATAAATATAATTCAGTTCCGATTCTGCGCAATCGGGACACAACCGCGTTGTTAGCAAAACAGAATATTAAGGTTATGTTGCGCAATAACTATTGGACATATTCTCACATACCTCGATTACACATTCGGAAATAAACTTATTCCTAAATAATGGAACCGTTACTTATAACATAACATTTGACAATTACACAACTTCTTCCTCTATACCCTACCAAACTTACCTCATTCCGCACACCACCAAACACTTCGCACACTTATCAAAACGTTTAGAGCAGGGGGCGGCACTGTCTCAGCAGGAGGGGAAACACGGTAACTAGCGTAACTACTGCCTCTATGTGTGGACGCAGATGCTACACACAGAACTCGACCAATATGAGAACCCAAGGAGACCAATTTGAAATCCCAAAATTATATGTGGTTGTGGTGGTGCATTATATGCAAATTGATAAGTATGAATTTTGATCTGATGTGGTTGCGAAACGGAAGTAAACATTTACGAAGTTACATCTCCAAGTTAAACATTTTATTTGTGTATATGAATGTTATGCTTACTCATCATCATCAGTAATCTGTCAGACGACAGGTCCACAGTCTCTTCCAAAACAATTCCTCCACTTAATGCGATCTAAAGCTTTCTCCTTCAAATGAAAATATCCTCTTCTGTCCCCAAGGTCATCCAGCATCTTCTTACGTCTTCTTCCTCGTCTTCTTGTCACTTCTATCCGCCCCTCTATCTTTCCTTCTATAACTTCTTTTACAAGGCAGTTTCTGCGTAAAACATGACCAATCCAATTATCCAACCGTTTTCTTATTTCGTATAGGATATTCCTCTGCTCACTGACTCTAATTAACACTTCTTCATTTCTCACATAATCGGTCCAACTGATCTTCTCCATCCTTCTCCAACACCACATTTCGAAACTTTCCACATGTTTCTGATTTACTGCCCTAAGTGTCCATGTTTCAGCCGCATACAGAGCTAATCTCCAAATGTAGCATTTCACTAGTTTCTTCCTCAAATTTAAGTCCAATTTGCAGGTAAAAAATATTCTTCTTCTTGCTAAATGCAGCTTTTGCCATGGCAATCCTGGATTTAATTTCACTAGTACACCTTCCATCATCTGTTAACAAGGTACCCAAATATTTAAAACATCTCACATTCTCCATTTGTTTTTGGTCTAACTTTATTGTGACTGGGGTTGGTTGTCTCGAAATTTTCATTACTTTTGTTTTTCCCACTTTCATTTCCATGCCAAAGCACCTTCCAATTTCAATTAGTCTATCAATCATGCCCTGTAGCACAGTTTCTTCCTTAGCCATTAACACAAGGTCATCTGCATATTTCACAGTTTGAATAATTTGCCCTCCTACTTTGAAGTCACCGAGCCCATCCAGAGCTTCCTTGGTAAGGCATTCGCTGTACAAGTTGAACAGAATTGGTGATAAACAGCATCCTTGTCGAACTCCTCTTCCAATCTGCACACTTCCTGTCTCCCCCCTGTCCAGTCGTACTCTAACTTTCTGACCCATGTACAATTTGCTGATCAATCTTCTTTCACGCCAATCGATACCTGTTTCCTTTAGGATCTGCATTAATTTGGTCCAGTTTACACGGTCAAATGCCTTCTGCCAGTCTATGAAGCAAACACACAGTTCTTCATCTATCTCCAAAGTTCGTTCCGCTATAATTCTCATCATCCCAATTGCATCCCTGGTTCCTTTTCCTCTTCTAAATCCAAACTGATCTTCTCCAAGTACATCCTCTATTTTCCTTTCAATTCTTCTTTTAAGTATCTTTGCTATTATCTTTGCTGTATGTGCAATAAGACTTATTGTGCGATGGTCGCTGCATTTTGTAGCTTTTGTCTTTTTCTTTAAGGCAATCATTGTAACTTCTGTAAAGTCCTTGGGCCACTCTCCACTTTCATATATGGTGTTCATTAGTTTTGTCAGTGTTTTCAAACCACCTTCTCCCAGTAACTTGAGCACATCTCCAGGTACATCATCATCTCCTGTAGCCTTTCCCTTCCTCATTTCCTTGATAGCTTTTTCCACCTCACTTTGTAAAATATATGGTCCTTTCTCGTCTGTATCTACTTCTTCTTCCGGTTCAACTTCTAAGGTTTCTGGCCGATTAGGTCGATCATATAGTTCTGTAATATAATTTTCCCAAATTTTCAGCACTTGCCTCTGATCTACTATTCTATTCCCCTGGGAGTCTTCGATGCCAACATTTTGAATCCCATGATTCTCTTTCCATCCTAGTTCTTTTGTCTTCATGTACATCAAATCATAACGTCCTGTTCTTTGAAATTCTATAATCTCATTACATATCTTCTCAAGATATTCCTTTTTGGCCCTGTCCGTGGCTCTTTTCAATTCATTCCTCAGTCTCCTGTATTTCCTCCTGCCTTCTTCATTGTTGACATTCTTCCATTTCCTTCGCTCCTCCATTTTACTCATCATCTCCTGTGTAACCCATGGTTTTCTTGCTATCTTCTCAACTTTACCAACCAAATCACTGATAGTATCTAACATGCATTCTTTTATATTGTTCCACTGCACCTTAGCATTTCCGCTTTCACCTTCAATTGCACCGAGTTTCTCTTCTAAGGTCTCCCGCACGCTTTGTCTTTGAGCATATAACTTCTCCAAATCCCATCTAGGTCTGCGCTTTTGAAATCTTACAATTTTCTTCAACCTGGTTCAGAACTTGGCAACCAGTAAGTTGTGGTCAGAGTCAATATCTGCCCCAGGCATCGTCTTCACATCCTTCACACTGTTTCTGAATTGATGTTTCACAAGGATGTAGTCAAGCTGATGCCTCCTCCAATCCCCAGGTGCCTTCCATGTGTAAATTCTTCTCTTTGGCTTCTTGAACCAAGTGTTGGTGACAATCAGTCCATTTCGTTCACAAAAGTCAATAAGCATTTGACCCCTGTGATTCCATCTTCCTAGTCCATGTGATCCAACAATATTCTGATATGGTTCATCTCCAATAATGCTATTCCAGTCTCCCAATATGATGCTGTTTGTGTCACCTCTTCCATCTTCCTGAAGAATTTCTTCAATTGTGTCATACACTTTTTCTACTTCTTCATCTTCATACTCTGATGTTGGCATGTACACTTGCACAATCAGTATATCTACCGGTTCCGCCTTTAACTTCAGAGCAATCATTCTGTCATTACAAACAATCTTCTTAACAACACTCCTCACTACACTTTTAAGCACCACTATTGCCACACCTCTTTCAGCTCGTGCTGTGTTCTGTGTAGCTTTCAAGTGTAAGTTGTAAGCAAAGTTATGAAGTTGAGTACAAGTATCTCTGATGGGAGCAGAATTTTCTTTCAAGTTTATCCACCATCAGCTTTCCTAAACACAAGTATTCTATGTATGTTATAGTTCAAATGTCCATTGCATTTCAATAAGGGGGTGTTGAATTGACGTAAATGAAATGTTCATACTTTACAGGCACCAGTGAGAAACTTTCTCCTGATAAATAATGTTGAAACCTCATCTCTTGTACTGCAGAGGTTCTTACTCCGTTGTGTGTTTTCTGTTTTCTAACTGAATTTGATATCAGCTCATGCCCCACCAGATGGTTTTGAGTGAGGTCATATTAAACTTGTGCCTTACTGTAACATGAGGTTATTGATTTTTTGAGTTGACCTACTCCTTCCGGCTGCACTATGACCCTGGGGTCAACTCAGTCTCTAACAGAAATGAGTACCAGGAATTAATTAAATAATTTTCCTGGGGAGTAAAGCGCGGCCAGCGCATAATGCTGACAACCTTACCGCCATCTTTGAGCCGATTGTCTAGATAATGTGGGACCCTCAACGTCTCACAACCCTATGGGCCTTCACAGTATGTTACAGGGATAGCTTTTTTTTTTTTTTTTTTTTTTTTTTTTTTTTTTTTTTTTTTTTAGATATTAAACTCAGTTTGAGAATAGAAAACACTCAATGGGGTAGGAACCTCTGCAGTACAAGAGGCCAGGGTTGCAAATTGTTTGTAGCTATTCATGTAAACTAGTGGTTCTTTGGGAGGGAGCAGTACACAAAGGCTGGTAGTATGATAACATACTTTCTTACCGACAGGGCAGGTGGTATGATAGCATACCATTTTACCGATCGAGCTCTCGGCACTGGCGGAAGCCATTTTGTATCAATAGTCTTGCCTCCGGACACAGTGGGCGTAGTGATACTTTCAGGAATCTTGACGTTCATGACGGCACAGTGTTGCCCGCCAATAGTATTGAGTTACCTTTCTGTTCTCTGGTTTGGAGCGTTCGGAGAGTTTTGAGGGTTTGGAGCGTTTGGAGCACGTTTAATGTTCCGTGCCTCCTACCGCCTACTACGCCTACTACTGCGATGTGGTTCAAAAGGTTCAAAAGTTGAGTTGTATATTTGCACTTAATAATCAATAGCAAGGGTTCCATTTTCAGGAAGCTCAGGAACCTTAGTAACCTCAGTAAATCCCACGCGGACGAAATGATTCGTGTTGTATTCTCAAGAGAATTCGTATGGAATTACCTTTTTTTTTTTTCGTCTAAAGACCTACAATCGATACACAATCCTTAAATATTAATTCAGTACTCGCTCACAAATTGTGACACGTATTTATCCGAAACCGCAGACCATGAAAGTCAAATTCGTTTACTTACTTTAATTATCTTACGTACAGCAACGCAGGACTGCGCAGGACCATCAAGTCAATCAAGTCGATCAAGTCTGCAGTGACAGAAGTAAAAGGAAGTAGGCGTCACGTATTTCTGTTATTTTTCTTTTGTTCCGTTCGTAAGTAAGTTAATTTTGTATGTAGAAACCATATCGGTGAGCATTTTTTACTTTTGACAAATGTAAAGTTCTATATGGATGCAACGATTATAAGGATATTATTTTGAAATTTGTACTGTTTTGTACAGTTGTCGCGTAAAACAAAATTTGGACGCGAATGTTTGATTTCGGAGCAGATCAGTCCAGTTCTTAATCCTATAATGTCTGCAGAAATAAATATTGATAAAGTCTGTCGACTTTGTATGGAAGAAACTTCAATGCTCTTACCAATTTTCAATGCAGATTTAGATCGTGAAGGTGCTTTGTTACCTCAGATGATCATGGCTCTTGCAGAAATCCAGGTAAGTTTGAGAGTCTCTGGAAGGAACAGTTTGTGAAATTTGCTGGAGGTAACAAAAATTGTTTACTTTTGCATACCTGCTGAATAGGATGACTTGTGTACCGAAGATGATGTTGCCGAGAAATGTCGGCCTAACTGATCAACATAACAGGGGGTTTATCCAAACCCTCATTAATGTCTGCTAGACTACACTGGGTTTCATATCAGTCGACAGTTTTTTCATAATCATCACCTTATGAATGTCGTGCAGATGACAGTAAAGTTCATCAGATCTGTAGATTGAGTTATTTTGTATTCTATGTAGGCAACCTTATGGAAAAAATATCCTGTATATTTTTTTTTTATTTCCAAGACGATGTATATTAAAAACTGTATCCAGTAACTTTGTCATGGTGACATAACTGCCTGTGTCACTAACTGATGTTGATGCACCTTGGTTCCCATAATAGGCAGATTATATGAATGTAGTAGGAAATAGATATTAATGCAGCATGTTTTGCACTAATTAATTGGATCAGTTCGGGAGGAGTGTGGTGTTTTTTTGTTGTAGGGCCGTACCAGGATAATATTTTAACTGTTCGGAGTTTCAGTAGATTCGGTACTGAGAAACTAGGTCACCCCTGACAACATTTTCTAGCATCCTGCGTTCCAAGAAAATAACAAGCCTGTGAAAGAATGTGGTGTAATTAAGCAGTTGATGGTGTGTAGAAAGTGCAGTATTGTAAAGAAATTGAAGGAAGCTCTAATACCCTGAAATTGGGTAACATGAATTGGTGACTTTTGTTGTAGCATATAAAATGTGTAAAAGAAGAAGGGAAACTTGAAAATTTTGGACAGGAGTTTATATTGAAGGTTTATATTGTCCATAATATAATATAAAAATGCCTTTCTATTTTCCTAATTTCTAAAGTGTGTGTCATTATTTCAGCTATTAATATCATCAGACTTCTTTTCATTTAAGTTGATATTGCATTATTTAAATTTACTTATATTGTCCTGGATTACTTCCACACATATGTCCTTTTTATCACTAAGTAATACTCATATGTTATGCATCTTGGTGTGTTCACTTTGAGACTGTTTCTGACTGACTAATGACATGTACCTTGTCCTTTTATACATTGTTGTCTAGATGTTTCCAGATGATGGCTTGCCAAGCAATGTCTGCCCAAAATGTATACATCAGGCCAACAAAGCTTATGAATTCAAAAAGAAATGTGAAGCATCAGATTCCAAGTTGAGAGTACACCTATGCAAAATGCAAGATTTTAAGGTAATATTGTAATTGTAATATTTACTTCTGAACTAGGAGCCAGGCAGATCTGTGCAGTGATTGAACCTTCCACTGTCGCAGCTATGAATTAGCCTTCTGACTTCATGTTCTCACTCCTTGCTGTCTTTGTGCAACTTTGTCAATAGTATTCACACATCTTTGTCTCTTTACTATACAACACTACATGTTTCTATATTGGGAAACATGGCACCATAGTTTGCTGAGGCACAATGCTACAAGCCAGAAGGGTGCAGGTTTGATTCCTGATGATGTTAGTGGATTTTTCAATTGACCTAATCTCTGCAGCCACATTACGGACTCTAAAAGGAAAACAGTACCAGGAATCTTCCTGGAGGTAAAAGGCTGACAACCTCACTGCCATCTGAGAGCTGATTGTCTAGGAAATGAGGAAGCCTAGACAACCCTATGGTCTTTGATGGCCTGTTACAGGGATAGCTTTACCTTTACCTTTATATGTTTTGGCCTAACTAGCCAGCATCAGGTGTGTAAGATGGTGGAGTGAAGGAAGCTGCTGCTTTGTTTTATGCAGTTCTGCTTTTCATTTTGCTGTAAATGCTTCTAAAATATTTTGGGTTATATTAGATTATCATGCCATTGTTACGCACGTGTCTGGCATCTCTGTAATATGTAATGTGTTCTATTAGTATTTTACGTGTATTTGTGGGTTGCACATTTTAAGTATATTCTGACCTTGCATTTGTGTTTCTTCTTACATTTTTGTTGATGTGTTGGTTTGTCCTTTTTTTGCTGCCTGTGGCTGTTCTGAGTGTTTCTGTAGAAGCAGAAGCGGAAGCAGTCACTCCTGGTGTTTCTTTGTAGTTGGCTCTGTATTTACGTGGGATGTTGGGCATGTATGCTGTTAGCTGGTGTTCATTTCCTGTGGGTTATGTGTGTCGATGTTTGTGTCATTTATATGTAAGTAATTGCTGCTGATCTTGTAGATGTGGTATTTAGCCAATGTATTTAAGTATTTTCGTTTTCTGTGTGTTCCTATACTGTCCATTGTATCTGTTATGGTTGTATATTTATGTCATGTGCTTAATACACAGTTCGAGTATCCTGAATTACCATGACTATTTATGATTGCTGGTATATGTTCTCTGTATCTGGTGTGGAATGCTCTGCCTGTTTGTCATACTTATTTTAGTGGACAGGGTAAGCATTTCATTCATTCATTCATTCATTTATTCTTTAAATTCAATAAATCCTTTTTGGCAAAGCCTAGGATGTTGAACAAGTCACAACAAAATCAAAACATACACAAGAACAGTTCATAAGAACTCATTCACATACAGAACAATCATAAAATTAAATTATACGTAGTGATAAAGTAGTAGGAGATAAATGAATGTATGCACTGCAAGACGGATTAAATAAATCATGGACATATACATAGTGATAATCAAAACAAAAAAAGTGGAAATTGTTCAAGTTAAAATTGATTAAATTACAACCCATAAAAGCTAACACAACACAACCATAACATGTACATTTCACAAGATTTCAATATTAAAATATACTAGAAGTTCAATTAACGAATACAAACATAAAATATGTTAATTACATATCTTTTTTATTCATTCATTTGCATGTTGATAATATTCATTCACAGAATAAAAGTAAAGATGATACAAAAACCTCTTTAATGCTGATTTAAAACTTTTCTCCACATTAACTAACAATTTTATTGACTGAGGGAGACAAATACTTTTATACCTGTTACATAGGGTACCTTTTTATATTTTGTCAGATCCACAGCAGGTGTAGGTATATCTTTGTGAACTCTGGTTTTGTATTCATGTATCTCGCCATTAATAAAAAACAAGTTTTTTTTATTCATTATAAAGAGAAGTAATGAATATATATACTGTGAGTATAGTGTGATTATTGCCATCATCTTAAAAATCTTCCTGCATGACTCTAGGTTTAGTGTTGGTTATGATTCTAACAATTCTTTTCTGCATTATGAATAATTTATGTACATTGGTTGCACTGCCCCAAAATGTTATTCTATAGCTGACAACAGAATGGGCTAAGGCGAAATAACTCAACTTTAATGCTTCTGTTGATACTATATGTCTTATATTTCTCAGTGCATAACAAGCTGAGGCTATTTTATTAACAATCTGTTCTATTTGGCGGTAGCGTAGTGGTTGAGGGGCTATGCTACAAGCCGGAAGGTCGCGGGTGCAAGTCGCGATGAGGTCATTGGATTTTTTCAGTTGACTTAATCCTTCCAGCCACACTAGGCCCAGGGGTTTACTCAGCCTCTAACAGAAATGAGTACCAGGAATTAAATAATTTTCCTGGGGAGTAAAGCACGCTCGGCGCATAAGGCTGACAACCTTACCGCCATCTTTGAGCTGATTGTCTAGATAGTGTGGGACCCGCAATGTCACAACCCTATGGGCCTTCACGGCCTGGTACAGGGATAGCTTTACTTACTTACTTACTGGATCAGCTGGAGCTGCAGCTGAAGTACCATTGATCTACAGCCTTTTCAGATCAGATTCCATCAGTGAGGGCCAATTCTTGTTACACATCATCAGGATGTCACATAAACTTTCTTTTTTTATTGAGGTTCTGAATTTTTTTATGAGATTCATTACATTGAATCCTTACTGAAGACACGGAGGCAGGGAGCACACATACTGTTGACAACAGCTGCCGTAACACTGGAAATTCCTAAAGCTCAATCAGTTTTTCACTTTCTAAGGTTATTAAGTTCGTACCACTAATCACAAACAGCTAGCAAACAACCTTCATCCCTGTTTGATGATGAAAGTTATTTCCTGTAATACAGAGCCAATGCTGCCACCTGACTGAAAGCATAGCTTTCTAGAATGTTTCCTGTTGGGCAGACAGAATCATCAGAAAATAGTGTTGCTCTTTCAGTGACTCCCTGATTTAAAAATTGTTCTTCCAGGTGTTTCATTCTTTCCCCTCACTCCACACTACATGTTTCGGCCCTAAATGGCCATCATCAGGTGTGTATTCTTACGTCGCTGTTACACTGCCTGTTAAAATTTAAAATCACCAGTCTTTCTAATTGTATAAACTGTTTGTTAACCTACACGCGTTAATTTTGATTTCTGTTTAGCACTTTTTTAAAAATTTAATTCAAGTTAAAATATCTATAAAATTTCTGTTCTTATCCTTTTTCAAATTTTAAAATTAAAAGTTTTCTCAGGGTACATGCCCTATGTCTAAGTGCTGCAGCAGCCACTTCTTGTTTATCGTTGTTCAGGTATTGTCTGTAATATACAAATATTCGTATTACTGTCTTGTGTTATGTTATGTTATTCTTATATGTTTATACTGTTATTTGTACTTACTCTGTGTAGGCTCTCTCTGTGTGTGTCGCTGCTTATCTTTAATATGTGTGCTGTCNATGTTCTTTATATCTAGCGTTAAATGTTCGGCCCGTTTGTCCAATGTATTTCAATGGGCAATCTACACATTTCATTTGGTATATGCCACTTTTATTGTATTTATCTAATTGTGGTTTTTGTTTGAGTATGTTTTCTATTGTGTTACGTGTGCGGAATGCTACTTTTATCTGTGTGTCTTTAAAAAGTTTTGTAATTTTTCTTACTTCTTTTGTACTATATGTAAATATGGCCCACTTTGTTTTTGGTTGTTGTTCGTCGTCATTTGTGTTTGATTTTTGTTCTCGTTTTGTCTGATTCGATCTTTTGATTATGTTTGTGTCGTATCCGTTGTTATGTAGTATGTTTTTAATAGTGTTCTTCTCTATTTGTTTTCCTTTTTCTGTTATTGGGTATGTGTAGAGTCTATTCATTAAGTAATTAATACCTGACAATTTGTGCTCGAATGGATGGCACGAGCTGTTAGGTATTATGATGTCTGTTTGTGTGGGTTTTCTATATATTTCGAATTGCAAGCTATCTTCATTACGATGTATTGTTATATCTAGAAAGTTAATAGATTCTTGTTGTTCTCTTTCAATTGTGAACTTTATAGTTGGTTGCAATTCGTTAATTTCTTTGAATGTATGTTCTATGTTCGTTATTTTTTCATCATATATTATTAATATGTCATCAGCATATCTAAAGTAAGCCACTATTTGTTGTTTTACTAGAATGGGAAATATTTGTGTGTGTTCCATATATTGTATATATGTTTCTGCTATTATTGCTGATGTTGGGGCTCCCAAAGCTAGACCATCTGTTTGTTTGTAGTAATTTTGGTCAATTTGAAAATAATTCTGTTCCAATACTGTTTTTAATATATGTATTGTTTCTTTGTGGCTTTCTTTATCTATGTCATTGTTTTCCTCTAATATAGTGTTTATTATGTTTATGGTGTTTGTTTTCGGTATATTTGTTCTTGAACCACTCCTGCATTGTGTGTCCTATACCATCTTTTGGTTTAAGTGGCAGCACAAAGCTGATGTTTTGCTTATCTGTTCTGCCGTCTGTGTCCCTGCCTGTGTAAGTAATGAGAGCCAGGGGTAGTCTGAGTAAGACTTACACTTCACAGGACTCAGTTCCAAATTTTAAAAAATTTGAGAGACATATTGTTTCCTTTCTTCACAAAAGTAACCATCTGTCACTGTATTCTGACCTGCTACACACATTGGGTAGAGCTGATGTGATTGGATATATTTTGAAATATTCAGGACCAACCTGATATGTGTCTTGCAGTTGTTATTCATGAAGTGCATAAGTTTTACTGTGTTGGCATCACAGATTCAAAGACTGTACCTAGAATAGAATTTCTTCAAAAATAAGACCTCCATGTAGGTTTCTGGACCATGCCCATCAGCGTAACAGTGCCAAGACAACATACATTTGATTTTTAGTGTCAGATTTCCAGTCCTTTGTGCTAGATCAGAATAGGATTTGAAGGCCTCTGGGTTGTATGCATTGTTTTGCATATAGGGTTTTTTCCTGCATGTTCCTTTGTAAGAAAAATATGAATTTTTGCTTTATTTTGAGGTTCACAATTACCAATAA